GGTGCTCTGCCGCGAATAAAAAAGACAGCATTGCCTTGAGACAGTGCCGCCGAACGGGGAAACCGTCTTCCTGCCCTCCGCGCACAAGCGTGAGCGCCAGCGGTGTGGGCTTGAGGCGGCATTTCACTGGCATGCGTCTGGCCGAGAGCTGTTTGGCTGTGCTCAGGTAGTCCCTCAGCCCCTGGCATGACATGGCGCCTTCCGAGCACAATATCTGCAACAGAAGACCACCGTGGGGTGTTCCCGTCCCGACTCACCCGCCAGGCTAGGCGGCAACAACGCCAGGCTAGGCGGCAACATCGCTAGGCTGGGCGGCAACAACGCCAGGCTAGGCGGTAACAGCGCCAGGCTAGGCAGCAACAACGCTAGGCTAGGCGGCAACAACGCTGCGATAGCCCTTCCAGTCTGGACGCACCTCAGCCCCCGACAAAAGGCTCCACCCGCTGGGGAGTCACGGCTTCAGTCCGCTGCCGCCGGGTTCAGTCAGTAATGACACACGGCTGGTGGCTGTCACAAGTCCTGAAGAAGTCAGAAGTCCGTCAGAAGTCCGTTCAGGCCGTCAGAAGTCCACTAAGACTGATGGTATGGCCGATGTCTGATGTACTGATGGTATTCGGGCCGATGTCGACTCGCTTCCTGAAAGCGGCGAGTCGACAAATGGCAAATGGCGAACCGCCTCATCGCCGTGCTGCGACATGCCTTCTTCTTATTGGCAACCAGTCATACCAGGAGCTGCACACGTACCTGGACTCAGCCCGAGAGCACGCGACTGGGAGGACTGTCATATCCCTTGCAACAAGGAATATGACATTGGACGTGAGGAGGATGCTGATCACTTACCCAACTGAGCGTAATCGTTATCATTCTGGCCCCAGAGGTTCTCCAACTGTTCCTTGAACGTGGTTTCATGGCGAATATTTTCGGTTTTGCCCCGTTTGGCCCGTACTCAGTTGCGTGGTTTGGTCTTTCGGTCTGGGCTATTTTCCCAGACACCAGACGGTCCCGCCGCAAATCAAAGTCGCTACAGTGGCGCTTTTATTTGGGGAATGACGATACAGGCCCGCGAAGACTTGTTTCTCGTTTCTATTTCTTATTTCATTGCTTCTTTTCTTCGATGCATAGCTACTGTAGCATAATTTGTAAGCCAAGATATCCGATTCTGGCAGAGTTGTGTGCCACTCATAGCCTTCTGCTTCGCAGCGACGAGTTCCGGAACGCATACTATAGTACACCCCATGGTGTATGTCTGTGCATATTTTATAGTCGCCTATAATGCATGCGTCGTGCACATATGGCACGTCCATGTTATGGCATATGGCACGTCCATGTTGTGGTTTATAACACATGCGGGTGTTGCGAGTTATAGCCTTACAATGAGTACAGGAAGACAACAAATGACATATACCGATCAGCAGAGGTGATTTTGGTGGTTCATGATCAGTTTGGTTGTTGATTTCTAAGTTGACATTGACTTTGAACACATCGATTAAAAACAACGGCAGAAATGTATTCCCTGCCATCGAAATCCCGCAGCGTACGGTACCACACGATCCCCCAAATCGTCAAGATAAAACTTTGAAACTTAACATTGAAACTGGACTCAACACCTGGCATAGCATTCGAGATGGTAGCGGCAGACATTTTGAGCATGAGAAACGCGCAGAGTTGCGCAAGTAGGAACGAAGCTAATGTGGCTTACCTAGATACATGAAATTAGCGACATAGAAGATTTCATTGAGCAGTTCGCGGTAGTTGACATTGCTGGGTCTCATCTATAAAGTGTAAGGATGATAGCTTACTCTACGTATCCAACTAAGTGAGAGGCGTATTTTATGGTACATGCGTTGTGTACATAGCGCATATGCAAATATCATGTATTCATATTACTGTAGTTTGTAACACATGCAGCTTGTGTAAGTGGTACCCGTGCCATGAACACATGACAACAAACGACATGTATCCATCAGCTGAGGTGATTTTCGTTATTGGTGATCGGCTCTGACGTTTTACCCTTAATTTGATTTTGAATTTGACCGCTTACTTGAAAAATAACTGCAGAAATGGGCTCCCGTCACATAAAACCTTATAAAAGCAGTGTGACACGGCCCACCGAGCCGTCGAGAAAAAGAAATATGAAACAGGACCAACATTCAATATGGCGCCGCCACCGTCTTTAATGCTTGGAAATGCTGAAAGTTACGCAATTAATCACTGAGCTGACTTGGATCACGTAGCCACAAAGAGCATATTTCCGTGAAAAAACTTAGCACTAGTCGGCATTGCAGGATCTCATGTAGTAGGCACAAAAATTTCAACTCGATTATAGCTCCAACCCAACCGCTCAACTGTAGCCAAAGTGTTTGGATTGTTTGTGGCAGGAAATGACTGTTCGTTGGTGCCTAACACCCTGCAGGCGTAACAGCTGCTGCACCAGTGAACAGTTCCTCGTCATTTGAACATGCTAGGATTTTTGATGAGTGGGGTTTATGACAGCCGGTCTGATCTTTATTGGATTGAACTCATATCTTCATGGCCGTTATGTGATTATATCTATCGTTAAGACATTGGTCCGTTGGTCTAGCAGAGTGAGGAACGGGGCCCACCATGAACATGATACCGTAGGCAAGGCACAAACTAGTGCAGATATACATTGCGCTAACATTCTGCACAGCAGTTCCCATGCTGTTTTAAATGGGTGAGACGAAAACGGTCGTGAGTTTATCCCGAAAACTTTCTTCGCCAAACGTTAAAGGGAGTGTTCCACAGTTGTTTGCGTTTTTGGACTGCATTAGCTATCTTGAAGATCATTCGGTGCAGTTCACAGCCTTGCCCTTCTTTAGATCTAAACCCCTCTAGTTTCTGAGCTTAATGCCCGCGGATATGTGCAGACTTTCGGGGCAGCTATTTCTATGTTGCCCAGGTATCCATGGCACCATAACTTAATTCAAGTCCTGCCATTCCATTAGCCATACGGCGATAAAGGCCAGTGCAAATATAACTGCTGAGACATTCGTATCTGGCGTTCGTGTGCACGATTTCCGGATATATCAGCCGCCAATTGGCTCTCAAACAATGTGGCGCAAGGTACGATGGCGTAATCAGACAATGACGCAATTGGGAACATGTCTACTTAACAGAGAAATTGTGTTTTTAGAGCAGTCGTTTTCACTTGAAAGTATACCAATAGATACAAGTGAACTTCTTTCATTTTATGCCACGCTTGCTTTTCATTTAAAGGTGGAACACTCCTTTTAAAAGGCCGGCGCACAGATGCGCCTGTTTCTGGGTGCGTACATCAACAACCACACACGTCATGATGGGCGTAATGTCGCAAGGCGGATGTATTTGATGGCGGGTGTATTAGAGCCATGGCATATTTATTGGAAGTAGAACAATACAACTTTCGTAACTTAACTTTCTAACGTAGCTTGACTTTCTAACGTAACTTTTGCTTTCGTAACGGACCGTGGCTGCTACAATCACCGCAGCCGCAGCTTTCCCCGCGGGCTGTCCCGAAACTGGTGAAAAATGTACGCAGCGCTTTGGATGCGAACACGTATGGGTGGTCAGAAGTGCGACAGCAGCACCCACCGCGGCGGGGTGGCCCGTGAAGCTGCGGGACGGCCTTGACATCAGGACCGGCCCACCGCGGCAGGGTGGCCCGTGAAGCTGCGGGACGGCCTTGACATCAGGACGGGCCCACCGCGGCAGGGTGGCCCGTGAAGCTGCGGGACGGCCTTGACGGCAGGACCGGCCCACCGCGGCAGGGTGGCCCGTGAAGCTGCGGGACGGCCTTGACGGCAGGACCGGCCCACCGCGGCAGGGTGGCCCGTGAAGCTGCGGGATGGCCTTGACGGCAGGACCGACCCACCGCGGGAGGGTGGCCCGTGAAGCTGCGGGTGGCCTCGACGCCAGGACTGGGCGGTGGATGCAGACCTGGTAACTCTGTTCTCGGCGGCCACCCCGAGGCTCGGTGCCGAGTCGACGGGAAGACGAGCCCGGATCTCTCACGGGAGCAATTGCAGCAAAAGGCGCCATGCTCAAGTGGCGGTTTTGAAGGATGGCGATGTCGCGGAACCTTGGGAGCACGTCGCAGCAAGCGCAGCCACTAAAGCACTGGAATGACACGACTTCTGCTGCTCGCGCACGCTCGCAAGAGCGGAATCCCTGTGGACTGCACGGATGCATTTTATGACGCCTGTTGCTTCCTGTGACTTCGTATGCGTCCACGACCTTGGCCTCCAATGCAGCAGCCGGCTTGGTTTTTTCTGTCAAACTGAGTTGACTGATGGATCGCCGAGATAAGCAAACAGTCAGACGTCGATTGGTCTTTGTTGGTGTGCAAGCAACTGCATTCAGTTCTCTGTCTGTCCAGTACGTGCGCATTACACTGTTTTTCGACCAAATTGTTTGATATTGACAGCGAAGTGCCCGTGTCATTCTTCGGAGTCGTGTCACCAGATTAAATTTTGAACATTTCATCCCCGTTAGCTGTGCGTTACTCCAGCTTCACTTCTTTGCGCGCTCGAACGCTGGCCCACCAGATAAACACGACAGTCAACGTATGCCGTGTTTTCCTTTGCGACATCTCCTTACCTTTGCTTTGCCAGTGGCAGTGACCCTTATAACGCGGATCGGGCTGTAGGGAGTGCGGACAGCTCTGCTGTTTTACGCCCGTGCTTTTCTCTGTAGGCGGTGCAGCTTTCTGCTGACGGCGGTCGCCATGACTGTTGGCCTCCGTATCATTCAAGGGGTTGAAAACTGATTTTAGAACAAGGTGCTGTATTGTGGAGACCATTTTTCTCAGCTTCGCCAAGAAACCTCAGTATATATGTCCTCCCCAAGCAGTCATTTGGTATAAAGCGTCTCGATGCAAGACTGGAACAACAACTCAAACTTGGCCGTGAAAAGCTGCACATGTTAGCTTACGAACTGTGGTTGCCACCGCAAGCCACGCCTTCTGCGGCGCCGGTGTCTGACCGAGCGCGCCCCCGCCGCAGCGCCGTCGGCTTCCGGCCGCCTGGGGTGCCCGCTCTGCAGCAAGACGTACGCCAGCTGGGACTCGTACCGACACCACCTGGAGACGCACGCCGGCCGCACCACCTGCCCGCGCTGCCGCCAGGTGTTCGCCACGGCTGCCAGCCGAAACCGGCACATGGGCTCGGCTCGCTGCCTGGGCGCTGTGCCGCCGCCGGCGCCGGTGCCGGCTGGGGACGGCGCAGAGGCCGAGGAGGCGGACGGGGAGGCCGAGGCGCAGCTCTGGACAGCCCCGCAGCTCCCGGACAGCGACGGCGAGCTGGGATAGCGACGGGCGGCGACTCGGAGAGATGGGCTTCCGGGGCGGCAGATCCGCTGTCCAGATCTAGATCCAGAGGCTCCCATCGGGTCGGTGCAGAGACCCCCAGATCCCCGGATCCAGATCCAGAGACGTCTGGGCGTGCGGCCGGCCGGGTCGTCGGGCGGCGGACGGCGGCCTGCGGTGCTCTCCCGCCGTGGGGGTGCCGCTGCCGAGCTCCGCTGGGGTCGTGTCGGACCTGTGACGAACCTGCCGGCCGGTGCAGCGGGTCGAGCTGGCGGCTGGTGACTGCGGTGGGCCCGGACTGCTCTCGGAAGCTGCTGCGTCCACGCGATGGCGTCGTGTTTGTCACAGCTCTCACTCGTGTTTGTCACAGCTCTGACTCGTCGCGCGTTTGAACGCCAGTCCAGCAATGCTGTCTCCGTAACGCACTGAAGCCCAGTGAAGGTCGAGGAAGAGCTCACGGTGTATTGATCACCATTGTATTTACCCGGTACAAAGTGTGAACATGCGGCACTCATGATCTCTGTGCTCTTGTTCGCTGGCCATGGTGCAGCTTTCCTTGCGAAGGCACATGTGCGTGGCCGCGCGCGGGGCTCACTAGCGCGACCATTGTGCCACCGAGGAGCGGTCGGGCGGGGACGGCGGGCACTGTCCCCTTGACTGCTTGTTGATGGCTGCTGTGTAGCACGCGTGTCGTTTGAATCCAACAGAAGGCGTTCAGGAACGGTATCTTACTGCGGAAAACTGCAGGCCACTCACACTGGTCCACGAGAGGGACTGCTGAATGCCGCGTCCCAGAGAGCAGCATATGTGCGTGTATAGAGAAGGAGGGGGGGGGGGGGGGGGGGGCAAACCAGCAGTGCGAAGCATGGGGGGTCGTGATGTCGCCTTCAGGGACATATGACTCGATGCCGCCGATGGCCTGAGACAGTTCCATGAGCGGGCCTGGACGCCGATCGAGGAGTCGCACGCGTGCCCTGTGATGCGTGTCGTTCAGGTGATGATGGCCGAGGACGTTCTTCCGTCGTAGCGCCATGTAGACCGGTCATCGCCCATAAAACAACACGAACTGGACATCGTCTTTGAATGCGACATGGCACGAGTAATGCCGGCCGCGGTTGCGTGCCCGTATCCGGCTCCGGGCTCCCTCCTTGCCGAGTTGGAGGGATGACATACACGCCGCGGTTGCATGCCCGTATGCGGCTCGCGGCCCCTCCTTGCCGAGCTGGAGGGATGACATACACGCCGCGGTTGCATGCCCGTATGCGGCTCGCGGCCCCTCCTTGCCGAGCTGGAGGGATGACATGCACGCCGCGGTTGCGTGCCCGTATCCGGCTCGGGGCTCCTTGCCGAGCTGCTCGGAGAGTGGTCGCGAAACATCGCGATGCACCCAGGATGACGGTACCTCCGGGGATGCATCGAAACTTTTGGAACGTTTGAAGTGACATGGTAGACGATGCTACGGGACGGATCCCAGGGATGTGGCAACGTTTGGAGTTACAGACTCCCGGGAGTGCAATGAAACACACGGGCTGCGGCACATGGGGTCCAAGCCCCTTGTGGTCTGATAGCCCACGGGGTCCACGCCCCTTGTGGTCTGACGGCTTTGAGCTGTGCAGAAGTACCAGGAGCACTTCACCCTCTTACTTACCTTCGTCCTCTGCGGGCGACGATGATCGTTACTGAGGGGTATCTTTGCGAAACCGTCTAGATTGCTGATGCCTTTCAGGCTCTGGGCTTCCGCTGATCTCTAACCCCGGCTCTGGGCTTCCGCTGATCTCTGCCCCTCGACTCTGGGCTTCCGCTGATCTCTGCCCCTCGACTCTGGGCTTCCGCTGATCTCTGCCCCCATGCTCTGGGCTTCTGCTGGTCACTGCCCCCAGTCTGTGAGCTTCATCTGATCTCGTTGTAAAACATGGTGGGATAGTCGGAGCACTGGCGTGAAAAATGGGCCAGGTTTGACACAGGGAAGGGGACTCAGCACGGGGTCCGGCCCCCGGCCAGCTGGCGTTCTCACGGTGTTCCTCTGCACTGCGCTGCTGATGCCTTTGAGGTGACACGGCTCATTTGGAGGGCGGCAAGTCGCCCATACGACGGCCCATAGGGCTGGATATCTCGCAGCCACTGTGTGGCGTTTGACGGGAGTGAACAACTCAGAGGCATTGTGTGGCGTTTGCCACGATGATCGTAACATATCAGTAGCCACCGACCGCGTCTGCCCTGGCATGTGTGCCGTTTGACAGGACTGAACAATTCGGGGGCATTGTGTGGCGTTTGCTACGATGATCGTAGCATGTCGTTAGTCACCGACTACCCCTACCCTGATAATATGCTCTACCCCAGTTGGCTTCGAGAGAGACCTTTCGTGGTCCCCTTCTTTTTCTGTTGGTGTATCTGGACAGGAAGCGTTAGTTGGCGCGAAGTTTTTAATGGAGGATAAGACTGCACTGAACCTCCACATCCTCACTCCTGTGACGGAAAAGGTGAACGGTCTAGTGCTTTCTCTGTTTTGCCACCCAAGCTCGAGTATGCGCCACAGTCAACCGCATCCTGTGTTATCTCCGTTCAGACGAGCCCATCACCGGCACCGCTGAGTTGGGCTGAGCCCGTCGCCGTCACCGCACAGCCACGCTGTCGCGGCGCCCCAGAGCCCAGGCCGCCGCGACCGTCACGTCCCGCCGCGCCCGGCGGTCCGTTCGCTCCGACTTGAGCGTGGCGCCCTTGCGTTGCAGCCGAGTACCCGTGTCGGTTCTGCGGCCGGCTGTACCGCACGCCGGGCAGCCGGCGCGCCCACGAGCACGTGCACACGGGCGGCACCGTCTGCCACCTCTGCAGCCTGGCGTTCGGCAAGATGGGCAACCTGAAGCGCCACCTGCGCGCGCGCCACGGCCTGCCCGAGCGCGAGGCGGCCGAGCTGGTCCGCCTGAGGCTGGCCGCGGCGGCCGTCGACCTCGCCGCGCTGACGGCCGACCCTGCTGACGTTGGCGGGCTGACGGCCGACCCTGCTGACGTCGGCGGGCTGACGGCCGACTCTGCCGACGTCGCAGGCATGACGGCCGACTCTGCCGACGTCGGCGGGCTGACGGCCGACCCTGCTGACGTCGGCGGGCTGGTGACGGACTCGGATGACGCCTCGGGTCAGGCGACGAACTCGCGTGAGGCGTCTGGATTCGTGGCGGACTCGCACGAAGTGTCCGGCTTCGCAGTGGACTCGCACGAAGCGTCCGGCTTCGCGGTGGACCCGGACGACGCGAGCGGAGCGCCGCGGCCGTTCGAGGCGTGACCGGGCTACGGTGCCCTGGCCGGCTGGGGGACGCTGGTGTGACGCTCTGTGCGTTGTGTGACGCAGCAGTGTGACGACAGTGCCCTGGCCGGCCGGGGGACGCTGGTGTGACGCTCTGTGTGGTGTATGACGCAGCAGTGTGACGACGGTGCCCTGGCCGGCTGAGGGAGCTGGTGTGACGCTCTGTGTGGTGTGTGACGCAGCAGTGTGACGACGGTGCCCTGGCCGGCCGGGGGGGGGGGGGCCGGTGTGACGCTCTGTGTGGTGTGTGACGCAGCAGTGTGACGACGGTGCCCGGGCGGGCCGGGGGACGCTGGTGTGACGCTCTGTGTGGTGTGTAACGCTGCAATGTTCTCTGCGGTGCGGTGGTGCGGGGTGCTGCACGTGTCCGATCAGGAGGGCTGTGGCGGTGCGGATAGCCGGCGCAGTCTGAAGGCCAGTTACTTGCTCAAGTGGTGATCAGAGCAGCTAGTGACCAGGATTGGGCTATAGGTATGTGGCGTGCCGCTGTCAGGACGTTCTGACTGTTCTGGGCTTACCAGTGCAGCCTGGTTCTGATATCCTGTATTGTTTGAGTGTTTTCTTAAACCATATGGATGAAATCACCGTATTTACAGCCTTAAGTCCGGTAGAAAAACCACGAGAATGAAGATATAGATGTATTGCACATCTTTATGTGCAATGTATATATTTTCCATTCTCCAGGGCATTCTACGAGAAATAAGGCTACCGTCTTATCTACATACACAATGTTCCTCGTGAACGCATTTAACGAATTGCATAAAATAGATGAAAAGTTTTCCAACGAGTTTGTCTTGCAGAAGGCAAACGTTTCGAGCACAAATAGCACCTTTCCAGTCCCAACAGATAATAAACCACATACGAAAATAGATGCAAGACTCCACCTTTTCGTTCATTTCACGGCACCATTAAGTCATGGCTCAAAACACTACCGTAATGTTGATGAATTAGTGTGTTATTGGCCTCCCATTGGGCCCATATAAGGGCCAAAACTTCAAAGTAATAATACAACATTGCTTAAATGGACCGGCAAAGAAAACGTTAGTAAAGGGGTAGACGATGCAACTTGTCACGTGTTTTACTGCTGTTGCGAGGTCCTTGTAGTACCAGGGCATTAAGTAAAGAGCGGGACCAGGGTAAGTTGATGCTTGGCCGCCATACTACCGACTGCACGTACCACTGCAGCAAACTTCTGGTACCCCGTTCGTCTGCCTTTCTCCCTTCATCTCCAACGGCGACCGGCGCTTGGCCCCCGGCTGGCCTGGTGCGATGTTGGCTGGATGGCTGGCCTGGTGCGATGTTGGCTGGATGGTTGGCCTGGTGCGATGTTGCGCGCATCCTGGCGCGCACGTGACGAGCTTGCAGACGCTGCACACACGTGCCGCTGAGCAGGCGTTGGCGGGAAGGAGACCCAGGTATGCTCCAGCCGTATGTTGTATGCGGGGCAGGGGCAATCGCTCATCCATGCGAGACAGAAGCTTTCAATTTTCAGATGCCGGTGTCACGTGCTCTGGGTCGGTAGACCTGCACGCTGTCGGGGTAAACCTGTGTGTGCGGCTGTGCTTGTTCTGTACCTGCCCATTGCAGTGTGACGTGGTCAGTGAACGCGTCTGGAATTGCCTGCCAGCCAACACTGAGTTTGTGTGCAATTGAGGGTTTATGGGTGGGGGACCAGAGCCGCTGGACCTTGCAGTCAACGCCTGCCATGCGAACCGCATGGCTGACATTTGCAAATGTGCACCCAATGATGGGCTGTGTTAGTCTGTGTGTTTCTGTGTGCTTTTTTGTTCGCTCATCCAAAGCCAGTGCACACACACAGTCCTGTTCAATATACGTCAGATGTTTGAAGCCGTGCTTTTCACTGCAGTGAGCCGTAGGCACGTCGTAAATCCACGTGCGAACGGAAACTCCAGACTCCTTCAAGAGGACGTCCTTGGCGATCGAAATTAATGATTGACTTCGGATCAGACAGACACTCGGACAAGTGTCTAGGTTGCGACTCTCAATTCCCAGCCAGTGTTGCAGGTGGTGTTTTTATGGTTCAGACAGTGAACTGCAACGGTCAAAGTGTTATCACGCAGGGGAAAGGGGGTAAGCGATGCTGCTCTCCAGCGAAAATTGAACCAGGCCCTCGTTCTTTTAAGGATGACCTTTGTACCGCGCGGCCACCGAAACCTCAAGCACTGAGAGGATATCCTCCTTGGCCCGGTATCCTCCGAGAGGATGCCGGGCCAAGAAACCGCCAAAGTGTCCGCCAAACCGCCAAAGGCAAACCTCCCCACGTGGCGCGTGAAGGCAAGATTGCTATCATGCGACGACTTTCGTGGTTGAGATCGCGCTGGTGCCGTCTTCTGAACCCAGACTTAATCTTCACAGAAGGTAACTCATGGATCGGTTGCCTCAGCTTGGTGGGTGGGAGTTGCTCCACTACTATTTGCTATCGCGACAGTGAAAACACGTTACAGTCAACGTCCCAGTGTTTCAAGGCCATTTAACGACGGGACCAGGAGACTTCGTAAACAACGCACGAGATCCTGACCTGTTTCTCTTCACCCCAAATCCTATGCGTTTTCTTCTCGCGAGTGCATCACGCACCCTCAATCGACGTGCTGCTGCGAAATACGCGTGGGGGGGGGGGGGGGCTGTCGGCAGCAGTCCCTGACGTCGGGGAGGACGCTCCTCGCAGAAGTGCCTGACGTCGGGGAGGACGCTGCTGGCAGCAGTCCCTGACGTCGGGGAGGACGCTGCTGGCAGCAGTCTCTGACGTCGGCGAGGACGCTGCTGGCAGTAGTCGCTGACGTCGGGGAGGACGCTGCTGGCGGTAGCCCCTGACGATGGGGAGGACGCTGCTGGCAGCAGTCTCTGACGTTGGGGAGGACGCTGCTGGCAGCAGTCCCTGACGTCGGGGAGGACGCTGCTGGCAGCAGTCTCTGACGTCGGGGAGGACGCTGCTGTCGGTAGTCCCTGGCGTCGGGGAGGACGCTGCTGGCAGCAGTCCCTGACGTCGGGGAGGACGCTGCTGGCAGCAGTCTCTGACGTTGGGGAGGACGCTGCTGGCAGTAGTCCCTGACGTCGGGGAGGACACTGCTGGCGGCAGTCCCCGACGTCGGGGAGGACGCTGCTGGCAGTAGTCCCTGACGTCGGGGAGGACGCTGCTGGCAGTAGTCCCTGACGTCGGGGAGGACGCTGCTGGCAGTAGTCCCTGACGTCGGGGAGGACACTGCTGGCGGCAGTCCCCGACGTCGGGGAGGACGCTGCTGGCAGCAGTCCCTGACACTGAGGAGGACGCTGCTGGCAGCAGTCCCTGACGCTCGGCCGCGGATGCGTTGCAGGCCGTGGGCAGACGCGGAGACAGATGCCACTGGGGCATCCGAGAGACGGCGCCGGAGAGCACGTGGTGAGTGTATCTCCTGGTCCTGTGCCGCATGCTGGGGTGGACCGCGATGACCATCAGCGCTCCTCGTACCCCTTCTTCTCCTGCTGATCTGTACATGGGGTGCTTCTGCTGTGCTGCTTCTCAGGATGGGTGTTGCAGTTGCTGGGTGTGGGTGCAGGATGGGTGTCGCTGTTGCTGGGTGTGGGTGCAGGATGGGTGTCGCTGTTGTAACTCGCTTGCAGTGGCGTTAGAGCTGTGGTGTCTTGGCGTCACCAGCTCTGTTTCTGAAGCCGCTCGTGATTCTTTGCTGGATCTGTTGCCACATGCTGTTGGTGCTAAGGGTATAAACGCGCTTCTTTCGGCCGTAATGCCGTTGATCACTGCTCAAACAATTTCCATGTGTTGTGGCTGCTTATTCCCAGACGTCATCGTTGCTTTGTAACACTTTTACCATGCGTCAAAAGTAATTGCTTTTGCGGAGGAATGCAGCGCAAATCTCCTCATCGTTTGCGCTATTTGACCGCTACCGCGTCTGCTTTGACTTTTTGACTTTGTATTTGATACTCGACTATTTGACCAGACCTCGTCGTTTACACTATTGATGGCCACGTTGCCTGCGTAGAGCGATTTCGAAAGGTCTCGCTCTTCAATGATTGAATCCAGTTTCTGGCAAGCACAACAATTACTGAGTCCCGCAATAGCCATCTATGCGTCGTATTTATTATAGCTGTGGTCTGTGGTTCCCCGCACGGGAATGGCAAAGTCATACCCCTTGCCTCCCCGGCAGCTGGGCTTAATGAACTCTCACACTCGGAGTGCGGTGGACACCACCTCCCAGCTGTCACCTGCTGGACCGTCCCGCCTGCGTGACTTCCGGTAAGGACCGACCACTTCCGGTAAGGACGGACCACTTCCGGTGAAGGGCCGCAGCCCCTGGCCCGCGTGGAGTCGGCGTCACAACTATTATCGTCGCTGCGTTGTCCAAATGTTATGCTAACGAACTGAAGAAAGGCGTAAGGGTGGAAACGAACTCACGAATTCAACACAAAAATTACAAACTCAACCTCTAGGCAAGACAGTTGTGTACAGTGGTGCGCCGTCAAGTGTTTGTACGATCCGCCAATACACCGGCAGCGCCGTGGTGGTCGTTTGGGCGGCGTAGATAGCCGACCCGCACCGCACGAAGCCGCTGATGACGTTACCCACGCTGTCGGACGTCCTCCAGCAGGGCCAGCAGGTGCACTGAAGATTCGGCCGCGTCCAGAGCGCCGGGCGGCGGGTCCGAACAGAACGCGCTGCCGCCGCTCACGCTCAGCCACGTGATGTAAGGCCCCGCGCTGATTGGTGGGCGAAGGGAACCGGGGGGACGAATCGGATAAACCGTGACTGAAACATCTGGGCTCATTCCACGCGCCGGGTAACTGTGCCTTCGGTTGTCATCAGCGATAGCGATGCTGGTGAGCGCGCTGGTGACGTGCGTTGATGAATGGCCCGACACTTGTCTCGTACTGGACGACGACCGTCCTGCTCACCCGGGGAAAGAGAGCGCACGGGAGTTCGCGTGACGTTTTGGATCGCGCAGGGAGAACTCAGCCCCCCTGGGCGCGTGAACGTCTCACATAACGATCGGGCAGGGAGAAGTCAGTCCCCGCCGGGCGCGTGAATGTCTCACATAACGATCGGGCAGGGAGAACTCAGTCCCCGCCGGGCGCGTGAATGTCTCACATAACGATGCGGGGCGCTGTTTCCGAAGGATCTGCTGGAATGGCGACGTGACAGGAGCCGTTCGCTGCCTGTGTCCAGACCTCAGTTTCCTGTCTGTGTCCAGACCTCATTTCCTGGCTGTGTCCAGACCTTCAGTTTCCTGGCTGTGTTCAGACCTTTAGTTTCCTAGCTGTGTCCAGACCTTCAGTTTGCTGGCTGCGTCCAGACCTTCAGTTTCCTGGCTGTGTTCAGACCTCAGTTTCCTGGCTGTGTCCAGACCCCAGTTTTTTCTGGCTGTGTCCAGACCTCAGTTTCCTAGCTGTGCCCAGACCCCAGTTTCCTGGCTGTGTCCAGACCCTCAGTTTCCTGGCTGTGTTTAGGCCCTCAGTTTCCCGACTGTGTCCAGACCTGTCCTTCAGCAGACCTTCAGTTTCCCGGCTGTGCCCCTCAGTTTCCTGGCTGTGTCCAGACCTTCAGTTTCCTGGCTGTGTCCTTCAGTTTCCTGGTTGTGTTCAGACCTTTAGTTTCCTGGCTGTGTCCAGACCTTGAGTTTCCTGGCTGTGTCCAGACCTTGAGTTTCCTGGCTGTGTCCCTCAGTTTCCTGGCTCTGTGGCGAGCGACAGGCACCGCGCCGTCGCCCAGCTCTCGCCAGGCCTTGCGAGCTGTTTCCGGAGGCAGTGTCGTTCAGTTGCTCGACCTTTCAGGAACCCCCACCTGGACATCCGCGTCGTTCAGCTGCTCGACCTTTCAGGAACCCCCGCCTGGACGTGCGGATCCTGCCGGACATGCTGCGCCACAAGCTGCAGCGGCGGGAGCGGCTGGACAAGAGCGACTGGCGGCACGTCACCACCTGCATCTACGACCGCTACAAGGCCTTCAATGACCAGTGAGACGCGCTGCAGCCCGCGCGTGCCTCGATCCCAAGGATGGATCGCGGATCTTCCGGGAACGCTCCGTGAGAGGATGCGGCGCGCTGCTGCGGAGGCCCGTCCCCGAGGCCCGGGCTGGTCCACACGGCAAGACTTGGGCGTGTCACTCAAACGCCCGTCTGCGTAGATCTCTGCGTAGATCTCTGCGTGCCGGGTGCACTGTACCTTACTTAGGAAACAGACGGTGTTAGCTATGTGGTAGGCGAAGCGTGAATTTGTGCCAAATGTACAGATCCGCCGCTCCTCGTCGTTCGCAGCTTCGGAACCTCAGCCGATTTTGGACCACCAGCAATGTCAGCACATTGTTGTGCTGTGGCATAAGGGGGTGTCATTTGCCGTGTCATGTGAGTGTCAGCATCAATGAGTCACCTTTTATCAGTGAGTGAGGCGGTGTTCGATGCAATTATTTATCCGCAATGGTTGCCGCAGTCCTTCGTACGACACCGTAGGTTGTAAAAGCATGGCTAATCTCAGGCTGTTACACATCGTCACTTGTGACACATTATTCGTATTTTTCAGCGTAGTCACGTCGCGCTGGTACCAGAGGATGGCTGGCGCCATCGTCGACCAGTTCCCTTTTCTGTTTCCGAACCTGTCTTCGCTCCAGGCACTGGTAAGAGACGGCCAAACCTGTGCTGGCCGGGGTCATTAGCCGTAGGCGTCCACGTACGGTGCCTTGCCAATCTGGTGTTTGTTCCAATGTGCTTGCGTGATCGTGTGTTGGTTCTCTGGGTGTTTGTGCTAAATAGTGTTCTTCCCTGGCTTAGTTTGTGTTCTTTCCTTGGTTTTGAAACCCAAATCGGGAAGGACATCGAAAGCCTTGGGTTCCGTTAGTTGGAAACAACGGCGCGCACTTGAGTTCCGCCGTGCTGTTTGTCATTGCTTGAGATATATGCTACCGACGGGGTCCAGGCAGATACCGGGCCAAGTGCGTGCATCTACTGGGGAAGTGTCCGCGGCGTCGGGGATCCCGTCGATGAACAGCTGAATCAACACGTGCATTTCCCGGACATGCGCTGCTGGATGCGATGGTCTGCGGTGCTGGTGGCAAATGCGGCTGGCTGAAGCCGCTGCTGGCTTGTTTCCGCTGTGCTCTGGTGAATACCATGTATCACATTCTATCTGCACCCGCTGCCTGCTATGACGCGCTAGCCACCGTCCTGCAGAAGCTGGTCCGAGGCCGGCTGAAGAATAAGTTCAAAAACAACCGACGGCGGAAGAAGGACGTCGCTCTGGGCGGCTGGGGAAGCCACCGCGGCGACCGCGTCAGCACCGAAGCACCGGGGTCATCGCCAGCCGGCCTCGCTGGGGCGGTGCAGGGCGGTCGGGCGCCGCTGACAGCCGTGCTGGACGTCGAGGAGCCGGTGCCGGCCACCTCCGCGCCTGGCGGCGGCTGGGGCAGCGCGGCACTGACGGCTGTCCTCGGCGGCGCCCAGGCGGGGAGCGGCGGTACTCAGTGAGCTGCGTGCGATCATGAAACGGGCTCGGTCGGACGGACGGACGCTTTGTTCTCACGACAGCGGGCGCGAGTGAGCATGAGGTGGACGTTTTGTTCTCACGGCATCTGGCGCGGGCGAACGTGCGACAAACGCTTTGTTCTCACGACATCGAGCGCGGGTGAGCGTGCGACGGACGCTTTGATCTCACGACAGCAGGCGCGTGTGAGCGTGCGACGGACGCTTTGTTCTCACGACATCGGGTGCGGGCGAGCGTGCGACGAACGCTTTGATCTCACGACAGCGGGCGCAGGTGAGCGTGCGACGGACGCTTTGATCTCACGACAGCGGGCGCGGGTGAGCGTGCGACGGACGCTTTGTTCTCACGACAGCGGGCGCGGGTGAACGTGCGACGGACGCTTTGATCTCGCGACATCGGGCGTGGGCGAGCGTGCGACGGACGCTTTGATTTCACGACATCGGGCGCGGACGAGCGTGCGATGGGGGGAGAGGGGGGCGGAGGGTTGAACGCCCAAAGATGCGTGATTGGGCCGAAATATACTGTAATAGCTGTGAAGAAGTGTGTTGTGTATATAATAATGGATGTAGCTCTGTAATCGCAACAACGGAGTGCTGTCCAAATGGTGTGGATGTACGTCGTGCTCGGCCTGAATATCTTTTTCAGAACGGCTTTTGTTTTCATAGAGCTTGTGCTCCGTTCCAGTCCGTTGCCAATGCTCCAGGCATTGTTCGTCATTTTTTCCGTCGTGGCTAGTGGCGCAGGGTGTTATTCGAGAGAGATATGGCCCAAGAGAAGCCGAGTCCTCGGACTGGTCTCAGCTGTTAACAGGCTTCGTGAGCCAGCGGTTGAACGAGTGTATGCTGTCCGTCATTCTCCATTTTCAATACAAATTTGAAGAAAAGAACACAACAGCTGCTGAATTTTGTCTCAGGAAGCTTTCTGGTTTCTCTTTTTCTCTTTCGAAAAAGGCCGAAACGTGTTGTGAAAGGGAAACGCCACTCACCCGGGCAATGACCACAAAATACCATTTAATCAACGTCTTGTCTCCAACTTTCAGCAATGCTACTCACTGCATAGTTGCAGGGCGAGTCCCGACAACTTAACGGTGTTCATCCTGGGCCTGAATATAAGCACTGCCTTCGAAGCGGTCTGCCTGTTCCCGATATGAATCGTCGTGTCTGGGTCGGGAATAGGTGCCCTGGCCTGGCGCCCCCCTCTCGCGTAAGTGCATTGAAATGAAAAACAGCTACACAAATTTTCGCCCCATTACTCGCTTGCTTTGCGCACCTGCCTGAAGGTACGCTGTTCGGCGAACCGTTTCGATCCAGCATTACTACAACGGTCTCGTCGCGCGTATACGATTCATGGTAGGCACTTGGCTGTCGCGTGTCGGCGCAGGGAGTCACCCAGGTCAGCTAAGTGGTATTTCTGGCGGCTCGTTACTTGGACTCCTTGTTTCAGATCCTGACTCGGAAATTTCATCCTGCTCTGGACGCTGTGAATTGTTCCTGGCTTCGATTACTATGGTGGTTTCATGGACCCGCGTATCCACCCAGCTATCTGGCTGTGTGTAGAAGAAGCTGCTGGACATGTCTCGTTGGCCGCTGTAAAGACGCACCCAGGAAGCGACGGAATTACGAACAGTTGCTCGTGTCTTCGGAGGTCAGGAAGGCTGGAGCGACTGCTCTCCGTTACGGTCTGAGCTACCTTTGTGTTGGTCTCGACGGTGTTTGGAGTTAGCCCGGTACAGGCACATAGAAATGCTATATATGGCGACGAAGGGCCATTGAAGCGTTGGCATGTAACCGAGTGTGCGAAAATATAGCTACTTTCTATTTTCAGGGGATTCCTCTTCTTGCCCGTGGCCACAAGCCCGGTGGTCTGGACATGCGTGAAGACGGTTTAGCGAGGGACGCTTGCCGACGTACGGCCCAAATAACCTCACTGGCAACAGCCCATATTGACTCACTGATACCCTACTAGTCGAATCATCTGCGAACCAAGTATGCGGCCTGAGCAGGCTTACGCTGTGGGGTGATATTATGTTTTGCCTGAGTCCGTTGTTGGCGCGAAATTATCGCCCATAGAGTCGATACAATGCAACGCGGCTTATTTCGTGTGCTATTTCAAACACCCGGGCCGCTTACAATCATCTTTGATTAAATCCCGTAAAGAGACAGCCCGCCGCTCTAGCGTCGCCGCGCTCGTGAGCGCCGCAGCCGTCACGTCACGGTCGGCCCGCTTCTGTGGACGGAGAGCAGACCGGGCCGTGTTCCTCCGGGTGGAGTCTCCGGCGCAAGCCGCGGTAGTCGTCCCTTGGCGAACTGCCCACCAGAGATGCTCCGGCCCTCCGCGGCGGCAGTCTTGCGGTGGTGTGTGTGTGGCGGTGGGGGCACAGCAGTGGTTCTTCACTTCGCATGGACGCTGACGTCACGTATCTCGAGAGAACGTTCGGTCGATGGCGCAGGGGAGTGTGTGGTAAACCAGGTGTGGTCCATTTTTCACGCGTCTTTTCCTACTGAACTCGGCACCTGATTACCAGCCTTGGTTGGGCCCACTTAGTATATATATATATATATATATATATATATATATGTATGTATATATATATATATATATATATATGTATGTATATATATATATATATATATATATATATATATATATGTGTGTGTGTGTGTGTGTGTGGTGTGTGTGTGTGTGTGTGTGTGTGTGTGTGTGTGTGTGTGTGTGTGTGTGTGTGTGTGTGTGTGTGTGTGTGTGTGTGTGTGTGTGTGTGTGTGTGTGTGTGTGTGTGTGTGTGTGTGTGTGTGTGTGTGTGTGTGTGTGTGTGTGTGTGTGTGTGTGTGTGTGTGTGTGTGTGGTGTGTGTGTGTGTGTGTGTGTGTGTGTGTGTGTGTGTGTGTGTGTGTGTGTGTGTGTGTGTGTGTGTGTGTGTGTGTGTGTGTGTGTGTGTCTGTGTGTCTGTGTGTATAGTTATGCACGTCTTATACCCTTTTCATCAATATGGGTCTCGTTTGTCCTGGTTGGACATCCCTCCATGGCTGCTGCTCCCCTTGCTTTTCAGGATCCGTTTCGTGGATTCATGGGCGTCTTTGGGTGTGATGTTTGTAGCTTCGGTGCGTGCTCGCCACCGTGACCCTCCATGATAAATAAGTGCTATCGGCACCCAGACAGTAGTAGGGGGTGAGAGGGCGCATCTGCAGCGTACACCGTGGATGAGCGGTAAGATACCCTTTCTCACAGATCCTGAGACTTGTGTCCGAGAAGGCTATCACATTCCAACGTGGACAGAAAACGCCATTGTGATAACTTAGTCTGTACTGACCTGGCATGGCGGCTCATTGATGCACGAACGTCTCTTTCTCAGCTGGGCTTGAACACTAGCGGTTCGACACGGCGCCCCTCTCGTGGCGGCGGCTGCAGCGTGCGACTACGCAGTTTTCGGTGAGGCCCGCCAGCGACTGCTTGGTGTAGCTCAGTCGAAGCTTGTGTAGCTCAGTCGAGGGGGCGCTCGCATTCCACCCGCTGCCGAGGCGCGGGCTGAATTCGAACCCGGCTGCCAACTGTTAGCTTCATGCTCACCCGCATCGATGTACGTGAGGCTTCGCTACGCTAAATTTTCTGAAGTAATAAATGTGTCGCTATATCTCAACTGCTATTATGTCGTTCGCGAATCCTTTAGGTCATAACCACCCGACGCGTGCGGGGTGCTTTGTGCTGCTTGCCACTCTGATGCTTCTCTAGTACAGAGCCCTCAATGCATCGTATTTCAAACGCGGATAATCTCTGAAGACGATCAACCGCATCCTCGGGCATCCCAAGTGAACCCTGCACTGTGATGGTAAACCGTTCCACGTATGGACAGAGTGTGGCCAATCCCGCACCTTACCCGGGCTGCCCGGCCTTACCTTACCTTACCCGCACCTTACCCGGGCCTCTTCATGGCTGCCCGGTCGGTATCTGCGTGTTCCTCCGCAGCATAGATACCGTGCTGTTGGGAAAGTCGGCGCTCTTTGAAGTCCTGGACGTCGAGCCCCATGAGCAAGCAAGCTCCACCGAAACTCAGTCTGACCGATTCCCTTTGAATTTGAATTTGAATTGAATTCCCTCCGAGCGACGTCACTGGCACATTATGGGGTCACGTTTTGTTTGTTGTTTCTCCTGCCTGCAGTTTGCTCGAAACATTGGTGTGATCAGAACGGTAATCGCTTCAAGAAGACCTTACGGGTCTGATATATACGTGCACAGAAATCTGAACGATTTTTGAACCTGCGCTGCTGTGCGGAGTGTTATATTCGGTGTGTCTGTGTTCCAGCGATGCCCGCCTCGATATAGCAATCCTGCCCGCCAGCCTTCAGATAAAGCTGGTGCAAAAGAGGCGGCTTGAAAGGCCGATTGGCGGGTCATGAATCGCCGTCTCTACGATCAGTTCAAGGATTTTGAGCGACAGTGAGCTGCGCACCCCAATTACAGCCCTTTTTTCTGCGATCCTTTTCCCCAGCGAACACGTGCGGCACCCTGTGCTCTGCGGTCCTCTGTGTACGTTGGTGTGAGGATGACCACTTGCCGCCTGGAGCGGTTGTGTGCTCCTTTTCGAACCAAGTCGCCATGGCAGACACGCTTTTAGTGTGGTGACTACGCTTGCTTGGCGTTGCTGTCGACAGTCGCCGACCCAAGCGTGCGCGAAACCCGGCTGGCGGCCGATGTATGTGGATGACGCGCTTGGGCGGGGCGTTCCCTTCCGCCTGTCGTGGAGATGCGAAT